AATAACCCTAAAATATACTTCTAAATAAATAATTAATCGAACAAATGTTAGTTTGTGGTTGTAAATAATACAATCTATTAAGAAGTGTTCCTAACAAGTAGCCTAACAACACCTCAAGTATCACTAAAAAACCATGGTGCTAGCAATGCAAAGATGATAAATGTAAACCTCGAATGCAATGTAATTTGCTTTGAATAAAAGTCAAATGCATAATGTGAACGTAAGAATGTTCCTAAAACATTAGGAACTGTTAATGGTAAAAAGTAATTAAAATAACAATTTAATCAGGTTCAAAACATTTCCTGTTCTTGTTGGCGAAACGTAAACATTTTCACTATATAAACTCAGTATACTTGAATAATGTAAGTGTTTGTGCTTTTTAGGGTTTGCTCTCTGTGATGCAGAAGCTGAAGGGATCCACAGAGCTGGAGCTCAGGATAGTTCTGTTGGGACTGGACAACGCTGGTAAAACCACCTTGCTCAAGTGTCTCGCCTCGGAGGATGTGAACACCATTACACCAACACAGGTGAGTCTAAATACACGCAAAACCAGCCCTGCTGAAAAGCCCTACATAAACCAGCAGGTTTAGGCTTGTGGAGATCTTCTGGTCCAGTTTGCAGCTTATCCTGACCAAGAACTGCTCACTTAGACAAGAAGAAACCATCTGACTGACATGACGTTTCAAATAGAAACCTCATAAGTGATTGATTCGGAACACTTCTTAAAAACAAAGGTTCAAAAAGTTTTTTTTTTTTTTTTTGCAGCAATGCCATAGAAGAGCTATCTTTGTTTCCCCCAAAGAACCTTTAAGTTCTTAAAATAACCTTTTTTTTTCTTAGTGTTATCATTAGTTAGTTCATACTAAAGTAATATTTCATTTAGTACATGATTATGTAAATGTTACCGAAACGCTTGTATCAAATTACACATTCTTTGATTTGCAAATTATACAAGTTATTTTGGGTGATGCTGACCAGTAAGATGTTTTCAGGGCTTTAACATCAAAAGCGTGGCCTCTCATGGGATGAAACTGAACGTGTGGGACATTGGAGGACAGCGAAAGATCCGTCCTTTCTGGAAAAAATACCTAGAAAACACAGATGTATTGGTGAGAAGTGACTGCATATTTTTTTTTTTTTTTTTTTTTTTTTTTTTTTTTTTTTTTTATTAGGCAAGAATCATTAGCACTCACGTGGGTTAGGGATTTAAATAAACCAGTGTTGTTTTAGTATAATTGAGAGACTTGTATAGTTTTTATTATTTTTAATTCGTTTTGTTTTTTTTTTCAATTCTATTTCATGTTTTAGCAAATGTGTTGTGTTTTTGTCATTTTATTAATTTCTGCTCTGTTCATTTTTTTTTTTTATATATATGTCTACATAGCATTTATTAATTTGACTTCAGTTTTAGTTTTATTTATTTTACACTTCTTAAAAACAAAGGTTCAAAAAGTTTTTTTTTTTTTTTTTTGCAGCAATGCCATAGAAGAGCTATCTTTGTTTCCCCCAAAGAACCTTTAAGTTCTTAAAATAACCTTTTTTTTTCTTAGTGTTATCATTAGTTAGTTCATACTAAAGTAATATTTCATTTAGTACATGATTATGTAAATGTTACCGAAACGCTTGTATCAAATTACACATTCTTTGATTTGCAAATTATACAAGTTATTTTGGGTGATGCTGACCAGTAAGATGTTTTCAGGGCTTTAACATCAAAAGCGTGGCCTCTCATGGGATGAAACTGAACGTGTGGGACATTGGAGGACAGCGAAAGATCCGTCCTTTCTGGAAAAAATACCTAGAAAACACAGATGTATTGGTGAGAAGTGACTGCATTCAGAAAGAATACACAATAATACGAAACAAATACCAATGTTTGCTAACTAACAAGTTTGTTGGTTCATCTGTAGGTTTATGTCATAGACAGCGCTGACAAGAAGCGGTTTGAGGAAACAGGATTGGTAAGGCAGGAAATCATATGCAAATACAATTCCTAGAATCTTCCCACAGGATAAAGGTTGTTTGTTTGTTTGTTACTTGTATGTTAGCGTTGAACTGTTAAATTACACTTTTAAAATAGGGTACAACATAGTGGGGTCTGACACTTTACTCAAAATCTGTTTAAACCTGCAAATAAACATACAATTATAGGATCTTGTACATTTTAATGGAAAGTTTTTCTGTCTGTCTGTCTACCTAGTCAGGGTTTCAGTCACGAAAGATGTAAATAAAACCGCTTGGCAACAACACCTCACCTAGTGTTACATGTGCCTCAGGAATGTTAATATATTCAAATTAGAAGACCGAATGGCAGCATTTGACTACAGACTTTTGGAGGCCACTGGATATTGTGATCTAAATTTGAATGACCGTGTTACATGTGTGTCTGTAGGAGCTGTCAGAGCTGATAGATGAGGAGAACCTCGCAGGTGTTCCCATACTCATCTTTGCCAATAAGCAGGATCTGTGTACTGCGTCTCCGGCCAGCGAGATCGCCGAGGGTTTGAACCTGCACACGTACAGAGACAGAGTCTGGCAGATCCAGGCCTGTTCGGCGGTCACAGGAGAGGGTGTGCAGGTGAGGGACAGCAGGGAGCACTAACGGGTCAGATAAAAAACAACTAGTACTGTATCTTATTACATTATAGCAGTCTGAGGGGTAAGAACTGATTACCTGGTGCAGCCACCATCTAAATCTTCCTCCATCTTCTCTGTGTATTTTCAGGATGGTATGAATTGGATTTGTAACAACCTCCTCAAGAAGAAATGAACCTTTCTGCTCAAGCTGTACAAGCATATAACATCACCTGTGCGATAACCACATGACTTACATATAATCAAGCTCAAAGTGCTCCAAAGGTGTTAGCATTTTCCTTTAAATACACGTTTCTATGTTTGTTTGTAAAAGAGTAATTGATTTAATTTTTAAACATTTGCCTTTAGTGTCATTAGTATGTCACACATTTCAAATTTCAGGGTTAGCCTACTGAGAGTAGGCTATGAACTATGACTAGAAAGCAATTAGAAATGGGGTGCATTCTACAGACAGACATCTCTCACAAACAATAACTGCAACCTATTTTGATTGAGTTTTATTTTAAAATAAATCATGACTACCATGTTGCACTGTACTTTCAAACTGCCTGTTGATAATATCATCACAGAAGATTTGGTGTCTGATGTGGGTGTCTGTTTTGTTTTCCATAGATTAGCAAATTAATAAAAAAATTAAAATTTTACATATCAAAGTAACTTATTACATTTATTTTGTCTTCAAAACAGAAAAACTAATAAAGTGTTTATTTATCACATATTTGACCTGTCATATTCTATGGCTCTTTTAAATAGTTTAAATAGTTTTGTCATTATGGATAAAAAATGGTCGGTGACAACATTTTGTAGTTAAAGGAATAATTAAGCATTAATACAGTATTTGTTTTCATTTTCTCACCCTCATGTTGTTGCAGACCTTTGTGACTATTTTTCTTCAGTGGAATACAAAGGAATTTATCCAAGATTAAGTATCTCAAGCAAATGTGTAGTTTTTTTGGCTCAATATGTTACAGATTTCTTTCTTTCCATCCAGCAGATGGCAGCAGATAAATTTGTAATGAACAGAAATCAGCAGGTGTCTTTCAATCAGCAGACAAAATGCAACAATTATGCACTTTGCATGATAATAAAGCTCTCCAGCTGTTGACAGACACTGACAAATGTGCCGTATTCAACCCATCTGCCTTTTCAGTAAGCACAGATTTCAAATGACACCAAAACACCGATGATGAAGAAAATAAACATATGAAATCAGTCATCGGTGCAGAAAACTCTTTGTGCCCGAACAGATTTATAAAACATGCCTATTAGATTATCACAAGCTTCACTATCTATCTAACTATCTGTCTGTCCGTCCATCCATCCGTCTGTCTGTCTGTCTATCCGTCCGTCCATCCATCAGAAATATGAGAACCCATAAACATACACTTCTGCATCTCATCTCAACATAATTGAATGGACATGCTTCATGAGCGCTAATAGCAATAACAGACTCATTCTTATGGTAATTTATAATCTATCTATCTGTCTGCTCATCTCTGTTGAGTTGGCATGTCGCTGATGTCACGTTCAAGCTCTCATCCACTCAGTGAGCATCTCTATGGCAACATTGACTGCCTCTCCTCCCTCCTCTCTCTCCATCCTTTCTTAATGTCTTCGTTTCTTTCGTCCTGTCGCATGGAAGCGTTCAGTGAGCAGCTTCTGTAATGCAAACACAAGTGGACTGGTCTTCAGAGAGGTCAGGCAGGAACACTTTTCTACAGATAAGAACTGACAGCAGTTTCATTCGACTGGGTGAGTCTCTTTAATTCTGCCTCCTGTCAAACTTTGAGTTATGAGAGAGCTTCTGGAGACCAGAAAACAAGATTATGCATAATATTTCTTAGAAATACTATGCATGCTGATTTTTGACTGAGCCGTTAATTTGGATGCCAGTAGTTCAACCTTGAATCAAAATTGACATTTTCCAACCAATTGACTAACTGTCATATGCTGTGAAGTATTGTATAGACCTGCCATGCTGGCCGTGCTACTGATTATATTAAAGAACATACCGTATGTAGAAATTATTACAAAAAAAAAATAGTTTTCAAATAAATTCTTTGAACTTCCTGTTCATCAAGAAATATGGAAAAACAAAAATATGAAGCAGCACAACTGTTTTCAGCATTGATGATAATAAGAAATATTCCTTGAGCAGCAAATCAGCATATTAGAAAGACTTCTGAAGGATCATGTGACACTGAACAGTTGTTTTAAATTGCAATAATATTCACAATACTGCTGTTTTTACTGTATTTTTTATCAAATAAATGCAGCTTTGGTGAGCAGAAGAGACTTGTTTAAAAACATTAAAAATCTGTCTTCACCTCTACACCAGGTTACTGATAATAACTTACCCATAATTCCCCTCGCCATCATGAGTGGTGTGGCACACTTCAGCTCTGAAGCGTCGGTCTACAACGGTGGGAATGTGACATCTGCAGTGACCCCGATATTCAGCCCTGGGTTCCCATCTGAAGACACGTACACACACATTCACACTATCCTCATAGTCATCATCTTCTGCATCGTCTGCTTCCTGCTCTTGGTGGCGTTCTTCTACGCCTTCTGCTTCCACTGCACGCTGCAGACTTCACCCAAAGACGGGCGGCAAAACTCCGGCTGCAGCCTGGACAGAGAGGACGCCACCTTCAGATGCAGCTCCTCCAGCCCCTCGCTGGGAAACACCATCTGAGAAAGACTCCAGATCCTGCTGGAGAAGACATCTGAAAGAAACTAAATCACTAGTTGTTGTTGTTGTTGTTTAGGAATATGAGCTGCAAATTAAATCAATTCGCAATTCATTTAGTCATCATATTTAAAAAATTAATAAATATACATAAAGTTGGTACTAAAGTTGGTCAGATATTTTTTTTTGTGAAAGAAATTACAATTTTTATTCAGAAAGCAGACAAGTGACAGTCAAAACATGTTACAAAAGATTTCCGTTTTATATAAATGCTGTTCATTTCAATTTATATTCATTAATAAATCCTGTAATAAAATGTATCAGTTTCTACAAAATATTAATCAGCACATCTGAAGGATCTTGTGACACTGAAATCTGGAGTAACAATGATGAAAATTCAGCTTTACATCACAGGTTTAAATTACATTTTAAAATAAAAAGGTAAAAAGGTTTTTGTTTGTTGGTTTTGTTTTTTGTTGTGTTGTGTTGTGTTGTGTTGTGTTGTGTTTTGTTTTGTTAAATAAATGCAGCTTTGGTGAGCATAAGACATTTCTTTCAAAAGAAAAAAAAACAAACATAAACTTTTAACATCATCTGACAGGTTGAAAAACAGAATATAGCTTTTATCATTTTCTATGCCACCTCTATTCTACTGGGTCTCATAACACAAACTGAGATGATTATTTTCAGCATAAATAATATAATGCAGCATAAGTGATGTGTGAAATTATTGAGCCTGCTTGTGATCTTCTGAAATATACTGAACAATGGTGATTAAATGAGTCACGCTGTCACTCCAGCTTTATTTTTCACATCACTTTGAGGAAACAGTTAGGCAGTACAGAAAGCAAACAACACACAGACACAGAGAAACACACATCAAAAACTTCAGACAGGCAAACAAGAGAGAGAGAACGATCAGATGATTCTTGTGTCTGAACGCTGTAATACAGTAAGCAAGTTCTCAGTGTTTGTGAATGCAATTTTCAAGTTTTGAAAGATCTTCGAAGTGGTTTTTCAAGTTTAAGAAGAGATGCAAACTATCATTTGTGATTGTAGATTACCATACGAAATAATTTTGACCCATCTCTCAGTTTGTAAAGACAAACAAAAATAAGTGATTACATTAAAACACTTACAATGGAAGTCAGTGGGGCATTGTGCATAAACGTGTGTTAACAGGACAGTGGCATCACTAACTGTTGAATATAAATATATCCTATTTTTCTACTCTATTCATGACCATTTAAAGCTGATAAACATAGTAACTCACATAATGCACATGACAGCAGTCAGGCATGTATAGCACCAATAAAACATGCTACACATGCACTGTAAAACATGAATTTAATATTAGAGTCCTTTCCAAGAAAAAAAAATATTCAGCAAATCTAGACATTAGACTCATGTTTAATACATAAAGACATCAAACAAGGAGACACGGGTAGACTATACAGCGAACTAACTAAACCACGGAGGTGAGTGAATGCTTGTGTAACATCATTTTTGGGAGATTGTTCATTTTAGCAGAATAAAGCAGAATTAGTTATGTTCTGTCATTGTTTTCCGAACTGTGTTTACCTTTCAAGTTTTGTATTTCTGATACGGTGGCCGCTGTGCTGTGCTGCATTAGCCTGCAGATTGTAATGTAACATTTGAGATTTGACACACATTTGTTTCTCCACCTGTTAAGCATCGTTAAGATGGGCAATTTGAGCGATTATAGGTGTATTTTACCGTTAAAGTGGGTAACGTTACCAGTTGGCTTTGCTGAGCAGGCTCGGCATTTTCGCGCCCACTGGAAGTTTATCCGGTCAGTCAGGCTTCGTGCGTTTGAGTTGGTAACTTATTCGTAAAGTTAAGCAGTTTTTTTTTTATCATTATTTTTTTTTATCAAGCGTTCAAGCTAGGATAATATAAGTTAACTTAAGTTGAAACAGCAAATACTGTAAAGTCAAATGAACTTCAATAAAACAATTCAGCACTAGGCAAGATTTAAATTAGTGAGTTGAAATGACTTGTACTTTTAAGTTGATTTAACTTAAAATTTTTGAAAGGGGTGAAAATTTTTTACAGTGTGGGTGAAACTCCACTTACAGGAATTACATCATGCAACTGTAGAGCTCCATTGCTTAAAGGAACAATTTAGACAACTTTACAGCTTCAATTTCTGTACAGAAGAATTACTATAAGTGATTTAACAAGACCATTATAAGTGCATTATATTTGTTTGTTTTTACAAGCTGAGAGGAAAGTTCAAATGATTTCCTGTGGTAATGGACCACACGTCACAGGCGATGTTGACAGCTGAAGTACAGAAACCAGAACATTTCATTCTGAATTAATTCAATGACTTTAACAGCAAATGAGCCTTCAGGAGCTCAAACGAAATACTGAACGAATCTTACGAACTAAAACATGTTCGGGTTATATTAACCCCAATTAAAAAGCAAAAAAATATGCAAAACCATTCAAAAGTTTGAGGTCAGTAAGATTTATTTATCTTGATTTCTTAAAAGAAAAGACGCTTTAAAGGGACACATTAAATTGCTGAAAATGGACAGTAAATACATTTTTTATCCGGATTTTAACCTTTCTATTCATCAAAGAATCCTGAAAAAATGCATCACTCTCTCAGCACAAAGGCTATTAAATCTTTTAATATTTTAAAGTATTTTCTAAAATTAAAAAGTTGTTATATTGATTCACAATATTACTGATGTTACTGTATTTTTGGTTAAATAAATGCAGCTTTGGTGAGCAGAAGAGACATTCAAAAACATTAAAAAAACAATCTTACAAGACAACTTTTAAATGGTAGTATATGAAATTGTGTCATTATTTTAATGTCAAATGAGTGCCTCCCAAATTAGCATTCTGAAGAAAATCTTCAGAAAATTTTTTTTTATCAGTTTCTGGAAATAATGATTTTAATTACTGAATTAGAATCTGGTGGAATGTGCTTAACTGCCATATAAATAATGAAATGAATGAATAAATAAATATATAAATAAATAATAATAATAAATAGTTGTCATTATTATTATTATTATTATAAAAAAATAAAATAGGTATGATTTTCTCCATTCAAAACATTCTTTTAGTTTTCCTATTGATTTTAGGATGGAATATGACCCTGTCATTCATTAAAAATTAATAAATAAAGTTATCCGTCAATATAAATATATATAAATAAATATATCCGTCAAACCAGCAAAAGGGATCAAAGATTTATAAAGCTTTAACCTGAATGAGGCTGAATACATATGAGAAGCCAACACAATAAGCACATTTCAGTTCAATAATACATCTAATCTATTTACAAGACAATCCAGTGAATCCAATTTACAGAATTCTTTGGGAAACATATTCAGATCAATAGCCGTATGATTCTGATGATGGACTATGAAAACCGTACATGGCTGAAACAGTTTCAGGTTTCAATTTCAAAGCCATGTCATGATCACTGATTAACACACAGAGCACATGGTGCTTTTCTCAGAGCCGCGGGAATCACACGAGCCAGCGGGAGACACCATTATTGAATCTCGACCGTCAAACTCATCCGAATCGAGTTCAATGTGTATGTCCTGAAGACTGCTGTGCTTATAATGAGACTGAGAGACAGCGTTTGATATTATCATGTGTCGCTGTGTAGTATCTCATGACTCGTTCACACAAGCACAGAAATCACAGATCTCACCTTACTGACGGACGCTTCTTCAACATGACACTCCTCCATGGACTCCTCCAGAGAGTTTCCAGAGATTTCCATCTTCATGCAGTGAAAGCGGATAGATTTCACATCGTCCTCATCCTCACCTGCCACTGAGTGGAACACCTGAGGAGCAAAATCCATCAGAAAAAAAACTCAAAGTGTCCTTAGACATTCTGCAAACAGCTTTTTGAAATACAACATGATTCTGTATAAAACAATCTAAAATAATAATGATAATGATGATAATAATAATGATGATCAATTTTTTAAGTGAATAAAGCAATAATAAATCATATTTATTATTATTATTAATATACAATACAAAACAACAACATTAATTCATTTTTTATAGTTTTTCATGGGTGGATTATTTTATTTTATATACATATATGCACATACATTTGGGGGGAGGTTGGGCTTATAATGATTTACAATAAGACCAGGAACATGAATTAAGCACTTCAATTTTAAAGTCCTATTGACTTTAAGTTAGATCAGTGCTTCAAAGTCCATCTAAGATAACTGCTATGGTCATTTTAAGTCTACTTTTCCCCTTGCATTTACCAGGACTTCCTCATCGATGGTCGGTTCGGGGGCTTTACTGATGGTCTGGGCTTCAAACTGCGGGCAGGCGGCCTGAGCGTTTCCATCTTTATCTCGCTTTCCTTTCAGCCAGTACGTCTCGATCTCCACATTCCCGTCAGAGAAAAACATATTACATCAGTAAAGTAGTTGTAGTTTGTTAGCAGAGCGGTCATATCTTTCAAATTAAGCCATTATCCCTGTATTATGTTAAAATTCTGATTTTGACTGTTATGTTCTGGATCAAACAACTGACCATAACATGATTCAATACAATTGACTACAAATCCCAATATGAAAGAGAATTTGTGTGTGTGTGTATGCTAAGAGAAATTATGTCCCAAAAAATTCTGAGTTTTTAATTTATTAGTTTGCTAAAGCAGCATCGCTATTATTATTGCTCATTGTTCTTTCCTCAGTAAATAACTAGTTATAAAGGTTGTCAGATTATATCAGATTAGTTCTGGCTACCGGCTACCAGTTGCGGCTCGAATCAAGTTCAAGACATTGATGCTTGCATATAGAACAGCCACAGACTCAGCACCCGCCTACTTCCATACTTATTTGAACAATGTCTAGAAAATTGGTATTACAGGCACTTCCTGTATCTGTTTGCCTCTTTAAGAAGAATCGCTTTATGTATCCCCAATTGTAAGTCGCTTTGGATAAAAGCGTCTCCATGTACTCTCCATGGCAGAAGCCGTGTGGACTGTATCACCATGAAGACCGTAGCGAGGCATCTTGTGACCTACGACCCCAGCGACCACCATACCAGAGTGAATTCCTACGAGAAGCATGACAGTGGTCAAAACGGCAGTCATAATAAAATATCAGTACAAAGTCCTTGTCAAACAGCCATTTTCCAATTCCTAATGAGCGTTTTGAAAGAAATCAAGACTTATATTTAGCAAGGACATAATAAATTGATCAAAAGTGACAGTAAAGACATTAATATTGTTACAAAAGATTTCTATTTCAAATAAATGCTGTTCTTTTGAACTTTCTATTCATCACAGAATGCTGAATGCTGGCATTGATAATGACAAAAAATGTTTCTTGAGCAGCAAATCAGCATATTACCATGATTTCTGAAGGATCATGTGACACTGAAGACTGAATATGATGCTGATGCTGAAAATTCAGCTTTGATCACAGGAATAAATTACATTTTATAATCTATCACAATAGAAAACAGTTATTTTAAACTGTAATAATATTTCACAATATTATTGTTTTACTATGTTCTTAATCAAATAATTGCATCCTTGGTGAGCATAAAAGACTTCTTTTTAATTCAATTCAATTCAAGTTTATCTGTATAGCGCTTTTTACAATACAAATCATTGCAAAGCAACTTTACAGAAAATTAAGTTTCTACAATGTTTAGTAGTAGTTCATCAGTGGTGAAAAAGCATGAAAAAATCTTACTGATGCCAAAACTAGTGAATGGTAGTGCCTATTATATTACGAAAAATACAAAATTCATATAAAAAATTAGAAAACTAATGCAACATTTTATTTAATTATTGAATGAAATACTGTATTGAAAAATAAAAAATATTTTTATTTGATATTTCTTTCACTTCATCCACCATCTCAGATTAAAAAGTATCTTAAGCTTACCTTACAGAACACTCTTTGTTTTGGACTGTGCATATGATGCCTTAAAATGCTGTCTAGGTAGGCAGCTTTCTAGGTTTTTGTACAGAGCTAAGTATCAGTGTATCAAACAGTACATGACTCAAACAGAGAAAACCATGATTTAATTTAACTTAATTCAGCAAAACAGCATAAATATATAGTGGATCACCATGACATTACTAGCACGGGCCACTATAACCTCAAAAACCCCAATCTGAATCCAAATATAAACATTTAACCCTCATGTAAGCGTGACTTGATAAGAGAAGACGCACCCACTCGAATCTGGATGTTGTTTCCATTGGACGGGTCTCTGAGATGGTCAATAGAACGAACCATATCTAGAGCCATGTCACAAATATTGTGAGCATGATACTTCGTCTTTTCTGGAGCGCCTGCCACCACCATGTAGGCATCACCTATAGTTTCAACCTGAAACACACACATCAGTGTGAGAAACATCTGTATCAACATGCGATCGAGCTGGAACCACAGAAGAAATGATCTCACCTTAAATACTCAGTGTTTCTCACTGAGCGTGTCGAAGAGCGTGTACATGGTGTTGAGCATGGAGACCACCTGCATGGGTGTAATATGACTGCAAATGCGAGTGAAGCCCACCACATCGCTGAACAGGATTGTCACATCAGGAAACACCTGAAACAGATCAGATATAGACACTGATGATCAAAAGTCGAGATGAAATAAGATGATTCCCATTGAGATACTGAAGTAGACTCTCGGTGTGACTAATTAAACCAGTCACAGTTTAAAGGAACAGTTCACCAAAAAATGAAAATTGCAAATGGGTGCCGTCAGAATGAGAGTCCAAACAGCTGATAAAAACATTACAATAATCCACAAGTAATCCACACCACTCCAGTCCATCAATTAATGTCTTGTGAAGCGAAAAGCTGCGAGTTTATAAAAAAACAAATCCATTATTAAGGCATTTTTCATTTATCACCTGTTGGCACCCATTTACTGCAGAGGATCCTTTGGTGAGTAAATGTTGAATCTGTTGTTTTTTTTTTTAAAGAAATTAATATTTCTATAAGTGTGAAGTAATGGCTGCTGGAAATTTAGCTTTGTCATCACAGGAAGAAATTATATTTTAAAATATAATTAATCATTTGTTGCATGAGTTTTTAGCGACAACATTTCCAGTATAAAAAAAAAAAAAAAACTTTTGAAAATCTAAAAATACAAATGGAAAAACAAGACTAATTGGTTTAGAAAGTCGTAACACCTGCATGAAGTTAAAGGTGCAGATGTTCTAACCTCACAGGTGTTCACAGCTGGTTCTCCCTTCCGCAGTCGCTTAGCAACAGGTTTGGGAATCATTCTGTACAGAAGATCATCTGTCTTTTTCATCTCGTAGTCCAACATTTTCATGCTTTCCTCTAGTTTACTGGATTTCTTTTGCTCCTGCGGGGCAGAAAGAGAAAAACAAAGATATAGAGAGGTAATAAGAGAAGAACAGGTCTGTGATGCCCTTAACATGTGTTGTTGAGAATGCTTTTATACTTTAAAGTGGACCACTAAGGAAACCAGGTAACACTTTATTTTAAGGTGTCCTTGTTACACATGTTACATGTACTTACTATTATAATAACAATTATTTATGCATAAAGTAACCCTAATCCTAACCCTAACCTTATAATAAGTACATGTAGTTAATTAATATTACTCAGTACTTAAATGCATAGTTACACTGTAACAAGGCCACCTTAAAATAAAGTGTAACCGGAAACCAAATTCAATAGAAATCAGGTCTTCAAAGCATTCACACTGAACTTAAAGGCAGAGTAAGTGATTTCTGGTAGCCAATGTTGATATTTGAAATCACCAAAACAAACACGCCCCTACCCCAAAAGGGTCTTGCCCCTATTTTGATAGCTCCGCCCCACACATACGTACGCAACCCAGGCAACGATTAGTTCTGTGAAACAAAGCAAAACCAATGTTACACCGTGTCTACACCGGAAGTGAGCGGCGCGGCAGAAAACTGCTGCCAGGTTCTATTTATGATGTGCTGACACAAATTTCAAATGGTTTTCAACGGTCGTTTGATCGCGTCCAGTGTAGGCAGACTTTAGCTGTTGTAGACACGGTCTTACTCACCTATTGAGAAGAAACAAAGCAACCTCGGCGTCCGATCGCAGGCCTCCGCTCCTTGAGTTCTCGCCAGCGCTGGAAAGCTGATCCGATATTTACACGGGTCCTACTTCTTGCCTTATTGTTCCGCAGCCGTTTTCCTCTTTTGTTTCTTATCCGCCATCTCTATCTTTCTGTCGCTCGGCTCGGCTAATGTCCGTCCCATGCACTGAACGCGCGCTCCTCCACATCACGAGTAGACACGCCCCTTATTGCTGATTGGCTACAAGTTTGTTTTGCGATTCGGCCCGAATCAGTTTTCTAAAGCGTTTTTGAAAAATCACTTACTCTGCCTTTAAACTTGACCCAAATATAATTTTTCTTCATCTTTATGGTGTTTTTATACTTCAGGGTCCGTTTCGAAGTGGTTTGAAGTCAAATAAAATAAACTTAAAGTGAAATAAAATAAAATATAAAAGAACTTATATAAATATAAAATATTTTATTTCAGCTAGTTGCCAAGGCAACGCATTTTTATTTAGTTTGATGTGCTAAAATCACTAAAATTGAATTGAAAACAGAAATAAAAATGAATAAAAACTGTATAGACACACTTTTTTTTTTTTTTACTTTTTTTTTCCTACGCACCTATCTATTACCTGCAGGTGTGCGATGATGATTGCTATTTGATTTACATAAAAAAATAAAAATAATTTCTCAGACCTCCACAGTGCAAGAGTGATACGCATGGAGCAAACTGAGCTAATGAGACTGATCTGGATTTCTGTTGATGAGTCCATCAAAAGCAGGACGCTCTTGAGGTCTGACAGCTGTACCTGTATGAGGGCTCTCTTGAGCTCTTCAGACTGCTGAGTTCCTGCCAGCACCAGATCTCTGCTCGAGTCATGCATGCTCAGGTCATTGATGTACAGACCTGTCTTAAACATGGCACTTAAACTCTCCATGCTGCAAAGACAACACAGACACACACACATGCATACAGAACCTGATTTTAAGCACTATAATTATTATGCATACACAAAAATTCTTGAATGAACAGAAATTACACCCGTACTTTATAAATGTGTGTGTTTGCGTCTTACACTGGAGTATCCAGGAAGATGATAGACTCCCACTCTGGCATGTATCTCATCTGACCCTTCAGTTTCAGGCAGCGGCTACCATCACCCCAGCTCTCCATTGCATTAGCGCTGTTTCCATCTGACACCATTCAAAGAGGACACAGACATGTTAGCATAACTTTATGATAGTGTTTTCCTCTTGAATGTAAAATTCATTCTACTGCCGTTCTCTTTTTGTGTCAAATGGAATAAAGAAAGTCATACGGGTCTGAAATAACATGAACGTGAGTAAATGACAACAGAATTCAAATTTTTGGGAGAACTATTCCTTTAAATCACTGCCCAAACAGAGAAGTGAGAACTGACTGACCTTTATAATCATCCCCGATTAATTGACTGAAAGGCCATCAGCTCCACGTCCACATCTGCTGAGCGACTGGCGTTCTCATAATCAGAGTCTGGAGAGACACAGAAAAAACAGAATCATCTCATGAAAGCACATTAGATCCAGCTGTAGATCTGAGATCTTCAGTGAATGCAGACGGTCAGTAGGACCTTCCTTACTCTGCACTCTGTTGTGAAGGTTCCTCTCTCGTTTCACCGGCTCCTTAGACATGATCTCAAACAGGTTGTTGGGATGAGAGATGATCTGTCACAGAATCCACTGATTCATTTATTGACGGATTCTCTTCAATATAAAGATGTAAATGTGATGCAACACTCTTTTATTAATGCTTTAGAGATTGGCATCAATACTGATTGATTTATTATATGATTTATTAAATGATGTGTATAAGCAAAGCCTAACTGGCATGTCTTCTTCAACACTTTTAAAATTACCAAAAAAAATATATATTAAACTATTAATTAAAATTATTATCTTGGTAGTAGTATAGGCGAGAGGAGAGGAGAGGAGAGGAGAGGAGAGGAGAGGCGAGGCGAGGCGAGGCGAGACGAGACGAGATGACATGAGGAGAAGAAAGTCACCTGTCTGAACACGATGTTGAAGGGAAAAACTTCAAAGAAAAAGTCACTGGTGATGGGAAGGATCTCTTGTTCCTCTTCATCTTCTTTCTGAATATATCGATACGCAGAGTTATCAAAGTTTAATCTGAAATTTAAAAAAAATTGTTTCATTACATCTGCCACATGTCCTGTAAAGTTTAATACTCAGTTGTCCAACATCCACATACTCTGATTACTATTTGAACTATGTTTGTGTAATAACACAAGCACAACAGATGGAATCTGCATCGGGTAAATGGATCGGTTTCATAAACATGTTGTCATGCTGAGGAGAAGAAAGTCACCTGTCTGAACACGATGTTGAAGGGAAAAACTTCAAAGAAAAAGTCACTGGTGATGGGAAGGATCTCTTGTTCCTCTTCATCTTCTTTCTGAATATATCGATACGCAGAGTTATCAAAGTTTAATCTGAAATCAAAATATCACTCTTTTATTACATCTGCCACATGTCCTGTAGGGTTTAATACTCAGTTGTGCAACATCCACAAATTCTGGCTACTATTTGAATGATGTTTGTTTAATAACACAAGCACAACAGGCACAACAGATGGTACCTGCATCAGGTAAATAAATATGTTGTCATGTGTCTCACCTCATGGTGACGTGTGAATAATCTCCCACCAGCTGCTCAGACAAAACCTCAACATGGATGTCAGTGTCGTAGAACTGTTTTCCCATCTGTCTGAGCTGACCCATGGCGTAGTGCAGGTAACCTTGCGTTTGCTCCTGACCAAACACACAGAGACAGCGTCGACACACAACATCAGCTGAACACTGGACTACTGTGACTTTATAGAATTATTATGAGAAATTCAGGTAAATGAATCATGTGTGAATCACTTTTCCTGTAGATTGTTACATTTTATTCCATTTCTCCTAATCACCATACACGAGTGTTCAAAAGTTTGTGGTTACTAAGACCTTTTTTTTTTAAACAAATTAATACTTTTATTCAACAAGGATGAGTTAAATTGTTCAAAAGTGGCAGTAAAGACATTTATAATGTTACAAAAGATCAACAGATTTCTATTTCAAACAAATGTCGTTCTTTTACATTTTCTATTCATCAAAGAATCCTGAAAAAAATGTATCATGATTTTCATGATTTCCGTGATTTCAAATAAATGATTTCTGAAGGATCATGTGACACTGAAGTCTGGAATGATGACGCAGAAAGTTTAGCTTTGCATCACAGGAATAAATTACATTTTACAATATATTAATGTATTATCTCTCTCTCGCCAGTATATATACAGTATAGATATATAGATAGATAGATAGATAGATAGATAGATAGATAGATAGATCAAAAACATTTTAAAAATCTTATCGACCCCAAACTTATGAACAGCAGTGTATTAATTGACAAAAGCTTTCTGATCTGATACACACACACCTGTAATGCAGTGTAACTCCTGTAGCCGATTCCTCCTGGCAAAAGAAGGTCGGCGGCTGGACTTTTGGGTAACTGAAGCGCAGGTACTCATGCAGGTTATCCAGACCATTCACAAAGTCACACACATGGCGGCCTAACACCTGACACACAGTATAAGAGACAAAAACACATGAACAATATGCAAACACACAAGAACAAAGTGTCTATATCAATGCAGAGACCAGAGGATGCAATACGCAAATCAAGGATAAGGATGTTGAGCATGTGCTGCTGGGTTAAATCACAGCATGCAAACATCCACAGACCCACACAAACCTGAATTTGATTCTGTCATATCCATATTTCCCCACAAATCCCTGGAAATATACCCCCCATGAGTTCGTGAGCTCATTATAAGGAGTTCCTGTGACGCCACTCGCTGCTTTAGCGATACGAGGAATCACACTCTCCCTGTAGACCTACACAAGCACATATACACTGAAAAAATGGGTGTAGCATTTACTTTGAAATACTTTTCACTCAGAAATTGCTAGAAAATTACACTAATAATTACAGAAAGTAAAACATTGAATTACATTTTGAAGTAGAAAGACTGAAATCGTATTTTCTGGTAAAGGGGCATAAAGGAGGATCTTCTCCAATTAATGAAAACTTAGATGCTATTTATTTGAGTAATTAGTTATAATTTAATACCTGTTTCTTATATGTGCATCTCAAAATGCATCTCTGTCTTGCAGTCTAAAATCTATAATCATTGTGACAATTTTAATAGACAGTTTCACCCATTAACCCAATATGTATCATATTTTATAATATACTGATATGTTTTAAACTTCAACTGTGTGTACAAAATATTTTTTTTAAATAATAATATATGACATTTGACCTAGGAAAATATAAATTATGGGTGATCCCTCAAGTGAAGGCATTTATTATCTGAAACAATAACTATTTGTTTATTTGGGCAACACTGATCCCACTCGGCTTGCTATTTTTAGATATAATTTAAGGAATTTTATATATTTGAACGCTTTCTATAAATGAAATGCCTGTTTCTTGTATGTGAGTCTGGATGGATGAAAAATGCATTTGTCTTTCAGTCTGATCTCTAGTCACAGCGACAATTGTCATTTTTAATCACAGTAATAAGATATTCTAACCTGATGAGTTACAAAGGAGTGCAGTCTGACGTCGACTCTCTCTCTGACCAGGTTCCACACATCATCACCGTACGACTCTTTAATGAAGTCATGAAGACTTTCACACAGCAGCCCGTACATCCTGACCGCACCGACACACCGGAGACGTCTTCAAATCCACACAAATCTGAACGTCTGGAATCTCCAAATCTCACTCCTGATATTATGCAACTGTGAAACAATAAAGAATTAAGGACACAAAAAGGCAACATCAAGAGATCACTGTCCTTCTAAAATACATTAATCAATCACAGATGGCATGTTTGTCTGTTCTTTCATGACAATGAAACTTGACCTATCATAAATGTCACATGAAACCTCAATGTATAGCATGTGAAGTTAACTTACCGTCTGTCTGCCCGTCTCAGAGGTCTGCAGCTCCTCCGGACACAGTCCCGGTCTTAAGAATCGCACAAGAGGAGCTGGAATCATTTTCAAAAGAGCCACACTTACTCAAACTCAAACTCTTCAGATCTATTGTTGTGATGCCAGCGGCTGGTGACTTTGAGTACTGACAGATGCAGACCTCTCATGCACACATGCTGCTCTTTCCTTTGACCTGGACTAAAGTTTCTTACACAATTTTACAATTGTATCATTCGATGTAATGTGTGACATAACAGTTAGCGTGTTAGAAGAAGGTTAAATAGCTTATAGTGAAGTGTTGGCCACTTGTTCCTTACAAAAAATAGGAATCTAAAGGGTAAATCTTACCATGATACTGCACATCGAAAATCATTTAAACGTTTAGGGTCAGTAGGATTTTTTTTTTTTTTAAAGAAATTAATACTTTTACTCAGCAAGGATGCTTTAAATTTATCAAAAGTGAGTGACAGTAAATACATTTATGATGTTATAATCAGTGCTGGCTAGTAACTGATTACATGTAATCTGGATTACGTAATCAGATTCCAAAAATTAAGTACTTGTAATTAGAGTATATTACATTTTAAAATGCTTATAATCGGATTACAGTTACTTTTTTATGGATTATATGATTACATATTATTCATACAATGGCAATTATTCATAATTTATTGACTCTAGAAGTCTGGACAAAAATATTTCAAACCTGGACGAATTTGGGTGTGTAATGTCATTGTTTTCATGTTTCTTAATGTTTGTTCATATAATGCAGGGATTCCCAAATGTTTCTGTAAGCCAAACCCCTTAAAATAAAATATTTACTTGAAATATCTCTGAGGATGTATTATAAGGAAGTATTAATATTTCTAAAAAAAAATGTACAACACATGCATGTATACAGTTCTCTGATGTCAGTTTATGGTCACATTGACGTGCAGGAAAACAAATATTTATATTTTTAGTGTTCAAGTGTTTAAAATGTTTTTATTTTACATTTTTATGATAGAATTAATTATTACGTTTTTATCAACTTACTATTCACTCTCTATCAACTCACTAATGTAATGTTTAATGCATTTTATGACGCCAATATTAAAAATATTAATACATTACCTAAAATGAGTAATCTAGATTACATTACTAACTAGTTTTCATCATGTAATCTGTAATCAGTAAAAGATTACAATTTGTAAGTAATTTACCCAGCTCTGATTATAATGTACAACAGATTTTTATTGTTAAATAAATGCTGTCCTTTTGAACATTTCATTCATCAGAGAATTGAAAATTCAGCTTTAACATCATAGGAATAAACTACATTTTAAAATATATTCAAATAGAAAAGTTATTTTTTAATTGTAATTTAAAATGACAAAAAAAAAAAAAGTTAAATTTTTTGAAATATGCATTAAAAATTTAAAATACTAATTTAAAATAAAAACAATATTTTACACACACACACACAGAGCAAGATAGGTATCATAATCATATATAATCAATATGGTATGTGTGGCAAAGAAAAAAAAGCACCTTTTCATATCCACTTGCTTCACACACACCATTTTATGATGCCAATATTAAAAATATTAATACATTACCTAAAATGAGTAATCTAGATTACATTACTAACTAGTTTTCATCATGTAATCTGTAATCAGTAAAAGATTACAATTTGTAAGTAATTTACCCAGCTCTGATTATAATGTACAACAGATTTTTATTGTTAAATAAATGCTGTCCTTTTGAACATTTCATTCATCAGAGAATTGAAAATTCAGCTTTAACATCATAGGAATAAACTACATTTTAAAATATATTCAAATAGAAAAGTTATTTTTTAATTGTAATTTAAAATGACAAAAAAAAAAAGTTAAACTTTTTGAAATATGCATTTAATATTTAAAATACTAATTTAAAATAAAAACAATATTTTACACACACACACACACACAGAGCAAGATAGAGATCATAATCATATATAATCAATATGGTATGTGTGGCAAAGAATAAAAGCACCTTTTCATATCCACTTGCTTCACACACACGTTTCTGGTGCTGATTCAGAATGAGAAGAGGAACTGACTGCGTGTTGTAGTTTTCCAGGGTCCTCAAGGATTCGTATATAAGGTGATTGTGTACCTGTCGACAGTATGACGGACATCAATCCAAGTAGCTTTAGAGAAGGACCAGAAGAAACTTTGCAGCTTCAACATGAAGGCATCTGTGTGTTTTGTGTTTGCAGTGGTTTGTTGGTTCGCAGCGCAGGCAGAGGAGTCGCCAAAGATCCTCACGCTCAGTAAAGTTATGAATGAACTCAACAAGATCAACCAGGGAATGGTAAGCTGACTTCTAAAATCTATGGATGGCACATTATTTTTACAAATTTTAAGTGAAATTGACCAGTTTTTAATATGCTTTTTCTTTAAAAAATAAAGAACAAAAGCACAACTTTGAACTCACCCACCATCAATGATTTAGAGGTAAGAAACGATTTTCTTCTCTTCTACTCCATTAAATTCAGTATTCTAACTGGATGCCCTCGGCGGTCTAATATGACCACATAATTAGGCTTGTTTCACAGCGGTTTCTGCATGACTCAGTGATTCAGTGAATCGGGGGCCTTATAAGATTTGGTGAAACAGATTTTGCAAACGCGCTGGTGCATATTTATGTTTGCGCTCTGTAGAGCATCAAAGGTTTCTATTTACAATGTGTTTTTGCAGTGCTGAGCAATGTAGCCAATCACAGACATATCTGTAGATTTCGTAAACGCAATGGCCAATCATAGCTGTTTACGTCAGAATCCACTCACGCTCAGTTTTTGCTCAGTGCTGAGTACAAACTCACGAATCATCTCATTTTAACAAAGTGTAGACACAAGGTAAATAAGAGATTTATTGTGCAGTGTAGACAACTTCACTGATTCTTACGGAAGTTTGTGAGATCATGATGAACTAAGATGAGTGACAGCTTTTTAATGATTGTAAAGGGAGTTTGCAAATGAGATATTGATTTTATACAACAGTTCAATAAACAAGAAGTTAATATTAAGTGATTTACATTTTAGGAACACTACTGTTTGATTTTGCTCTATTTAGTGTGAGCCGGTCCTAACATCTGTGCCAGTGGTGATATTAGTGGAGCTGAATACTGATGATTGGCTGATCGACTGGGAAAAGGAGGTAGTGGCTCCCACCCTGCCTGCCACCATCGGCTCTAGTCTCCAGCCCTTCGCCAGCCCCTCGTCCTCCTCCAGAGCCCCCGCCATAACTCCTCAGTTGGACTTTTACGGTGTGAAATTGCGCTTTTCTGGGGGTGGGGTGTACTGCAACAAGTATGCTCTGATTTGGTTTCATTTTCATTGTATTCAGTTCCTGTTTTGTCTTCCTTCTGCCCAGTATACATTGTACGATTTTGGGCTGTACCAGATAAAAACGACCAACGTGAAACAATCCCTGTGGTTTCTTTGGTCATGCCTCCTAAACGGTGGTCCTGCTATATCACACTGTGAGAGAGGTTCAAAGACTGCCGTTGTCACGGTCTTGTGACCAAAGATAATTTTCTGGCAGTGTCAGAAATTTTGCATGACCTTCTATGACCTACGCCTACTGACTAACCAATAAAAATGCAACATGAAATTATGTATTGATCAATGCAACATAGTGCTAAAGCAAATGCCATGGAGGCGAAAAGAGCTAAAAGGAATGTGGGATTCCAATAAGTAATTTATTGTCCTCCGTCTCTTTGTTTTAAAAGCCAGAATTGTCCAAGTGTGGTTCATCGTGCTCTATTTGTTTACCACTAGCACAAGCTGATGAAGTTTATTATTCTATAGCCTACGTTGCTGTTTTTATATTTTTGCAATTTTTCAGTCAATATTAAATTACTGAAAGAACTATGAGTTTCAATTTGTAGTGCATTTTTTAGGTTTGATAACTTGAAAAGAAAAGTAAAATTGAAAGTAAAGTATTTAGTAATCTGATTACTTTTTAAATGCAGTAATCAGCAATGTAATCAAATTGCAATTTTAAAGTAGGCTAGTAATTAGTAATGGATTACTTTTTTTTTCCTTTTGAGTACCTTACCCAACACTGAGGGTTATTCATTAATTAGTTCACACCTTTTTTGATTCAGTTCGTTATCTTGAGCCTGCTTTATTTAATAAATACTTTTGTTTAGGAAACCTTACTGCATCCTACTTTGTCTTTGTCAGACACTAAATGTGAACATAACATTCTTATGAATTTAAATGCTTTCATGCCACCTCTGAGCCTCATTAAACAGTCTGTAAATATACCTAAATCCCTTTCTTCTGTACCGCCACTGTAGTGCAAAGATTTTGATTTTGAATTTTGTTGATGCTTATTTCATTTGATGACATGTTTTAATTCATTTAGAAAAGTTTATGAATTTGACAAAGGATGACATTTAAAAAGGTTATAAAAAATGTTATTACAAAGGTAAAAAAAAAAGCAAATTACTTTGAGTCAAATATCACCTCATAAGGGTAAGGTTAATATGTTTCTATTTTAATATAAAACAGTTAAACAAAAGTATCAATACATAATGTAAAGGATTTTTTTTTAATTATAATAATATTTCACAATATTACTGTATTTCAGATTAAACAAATGCAGCCTTGGTGAGCAAAAAAAATAAAATTTTCAAAATCTTACAGATTCCAAACTTTTGAATGGTAATGCACATGTGTCATATCCATCACCATGCTAAAATCTTCAGAGAGTTGTCATGATTGAATTAATGTTTATTTTAACTTCAGTACAAAATCAAAGCAACCATATAGAGATCTCTTTAATATCTCAATTGTTTCCCATAGAAAGCATCAAGATTAAATGCAGAGCAGATCATTCAAAATTATCTTAAGCTCTCAAATTGTGCTCGAATTTGCCAAAATAGTGTGCAATCAAACGTCACAACTATTAATGCCAACTTAAATAGTTCTCAGATCCTTCAAACTCTCCTGAGACTAAATTATCTGAGTCTTTAGTGCTGCATTTAAGTTCAGGTCAGAAGTGAAGGTCTGGCTGTGACCATGACAGATGAATCATATAGATGGATCTTAACCAGGACTGAGCGATGATCTCCAATGACAACAAACACAAATACACAGACATACAACATACAGACTGGTCCACTGGCAAAGCTGGCATCAGGTTTTTATTATGGGGGTCAGCAGGGGTGTGTCAGGAACTAAATGCTTTGCCCCATTTAGCTCCTGTCGTTTGGCTAAACTAGCAGCGATGATGTCATCGGGCAGGGGCTGAGATGAGTCTATAGAAACCAGCTTCACGCTGCTGTGCTCTCACACTCACACAGATCAGCCAAACACACCGAACATCATCTTCTCCAGCACACTCAGGTAAGTCAGAAACTATCTTGTCTGGTAAGAGGGGTGTGTGTGTGTGTGTGTGTGTGTGTGTGTGTGTGTGTGTGTGTGTGTGTGAGAGAGAGTCTGGTCATCTAATCTGCACAGTAATCTGCACATGTAATCTGTCAAATCTGAATTTTTAGCATGACAAAATGCTTCCTGTAGCTTCTATGAGAACAGTAGAATGACAATGAGGATATAAATTAAGCCAATAAAATTTAGAGTTAAAAAATGAACTGAACATTTGAATTAAAATTGCTCCAACAAAAAAAAAAAAACACACACAGTAACTCCAGTCAAAAGATTTTGTCATAAAGCATTAATTATTTATGCTAGCAAACAATCACACCTAGTATAGTATTAGCAGAAATTAACTTTCATTAGGGGCCAATATTCACCCTCTACAGTTGACTTTGATGGGCATTTTTTATCATATAACACCCTGCATGTTATTTATATATATATATATATCAAATACTAATTCAGTATCAGTTATTTTATGGAATGTTACCTATTAAATTAAATAAACACATAAGTCATACATTATGCAATACTATATTTTAATTGGTATTAATTAAATAAAATGTTATATATTTTTTAACACTAATACAATTATTTTCTTTAGAATATAATTATTTTTAATATTTTATCAAAATAATATTATACAAATATTATTTAAAAAATACACCAGATGTTATATATCTTATGCAATTTACTATTAGAATATAATTTTTAAAATATATAATTTAAATCAAAATGACAAATACATTTAAATATACCGAATGTTACCATTACAATACACAGGATTTCTTTACAAAACATTACTAGTACAAAACTAAAGCAGATATTAATAATAAAAAAAATAATAATAATATTAATAGTTATTAATAGTAGTATTATTAATAAAAATAAGAATTATTATTATTACATAGTATTGCTTAAATATATAATAAAACTATTATTATTATGATTATTATCATAAGCAGGATTTGAATCAATTGCTGTGATGTGATGTAATGTGATCTGATGTGATGTGTGTGCAGACCAAGAGGATGCAGACAGCACATCAGAGTCTCACCAAACAGAGAAAGCAGCAGACCATGATCCTGAGCAGAGAAGCAAAGGGAGGTAAGACACACACACAAACACACAAACGGGTTTCCATGTTTTCTGGGGACATTCCATAGACGTAATGATTACTGTACAAATTATGTTAGACGTAATGATGTTATACTGTACAAACAAATCCCCTTACCCTAAACCTACCCCTCACCAAGAACTTTTTCAAAAAACTTCATTTAGTATGACTTATATGCTGTTTTCCTAATGAGGACCAAAAAAATGTCCCCACAACATCAACATTTATTACTGTCCTTGTTGGGATATTTGGTCCCCATAATGTAGGGAATTCCAGATAAACACACACACACTACAAAGACACTTAGATGAAGCCCTACAAAACACACACACACACACACTCCTACACAATGACATAAAATCATAAAAAATATCATATGGTGATTGTGGACGGACTTCAGTCTTGTAGGGACTCATATGAGAGGCGGTGCAGTTGATTGACAGGAGCAGAACAGATCAAAGCAGATTCTTTCTCAGTCACTTGAGTGATTTAAATGGAGGGAAATCTCCACATCCAACATTCCTGAAACTATCCCAACACTTCAGAGGTAACATTTGCCTCAGTGTGTTTGTTTGTGATTTTCCGTTGACGTAAGCCACAGCGAGTCTGACCTGGCATCACGGCAACTCCAGCTCAGCTGAATCCGACTCTGGAGAGGGAATTTTATAAGAATAAGCCACGGGGCGCTGCTAGCATGAGCCCTGGCAGGAATGCCCTTTCTGAAAATGACACTTTAGGACGAGTCCATTTCTCCAAGTGTTCCACATTACTGCAGTCTAATAATAATCATCACTGTTACCCGGATAACACAACAAGCACGACTGCAGCAGCCGTGACAGAAGAACCCGAGAGCAACTACACTGCAAGAGATCAGATCAGTCAAAAAAAGAGCGGCCCTAAAAAGTATTTGGACAGTAAAGCCCCACTTAGAAATGCTTAAGTGTCCCTAATAAAATATCAATCCAGATCTTTAACCATGAGACGCCACCACCAAATCACATCATCATAAAGCACTTTACACTACCGTGCAATTTCGGGGTCAGTAAGATTTTTTTTTTTATGTTTTTTTTTTTTAATGAAGCATACCAAGGGAGCATTTGCTTGATCAAAAATATAGCAAAAATTTTAATTTTTTGAAATATTATTACAAAGTAAAATAACTGTTTTTGATTTGAATATATTTTAAAATGTGACTTATTCTTGAGACGCAAAACTGAATTTTCAGCATCATTACTCCAGTCTTCAGTGTCACAGAAGGGTTATTATAATTAACTAAAACTAAAACCAATTATATAAGTGTTAACTGAAATAAAATAAAAAACTTATTTTATTTGCAAATGCAAATTAATTAAACAACTAGACATAATTAAAAACAACCAAAATAATAAAAATGACAAAAGCACAACAAAATGACTAAAACTTTCAAATTAACACGCAAGCAGAAAATATAAAAATAAAATCTAACTCCAATTATAAACAAAACTATTATAGTATCTCCGTGATACTAAATAACACAGTGAGTTTTATAGAATTTTGTTTATTTAATATTATAGAGGTTTTTTTATTTTCTTTGTTTTCTAACCATATAAAATCTGTGCTGTATCATCCATTTTAATGTCAACTACTTCTGTTCATTAATACGAATTCTCATACATTGGATTCTTTAATGGATAGAAAATTCAAAAGAACAGCGTTTATTTGAAATAGAAATCTTTTGTAAGATTATACTACCACTTTTGATCAATTTAATGCATCGTTCATTTGTTTGAAAAAAAAAAAATCCTACTAACCCCAAAGTTGCATGATGTTGAATATGCATTAATCATTCAGTACCATGGTAAAAATAGTTCCAAAAACAAAAATTCTGCTATGAAAATTATGTACATACTGTAAAACATTTGACGAAGGTCAAGGATGAATCATTTTAAAATGTATGTGTGTGAGAAGGTCTGAACCTTGGGAAGAAGATCAGCGTTCCTAAGGATGTGATGATGGAGGAGCTGAACCTGAACACCAACAGAGGATCCATCATGTTCCAGCAGCGTCAGAGGAGAGTGGAGAGATTCACACTGGAGAACTCAGCAGATGCTCCCAACATCATATATGTAAGACACCCTGTTTTAAGACACACAATGCTTGCATGCAATTTTAGGGAGAAAAAATAAAACACATTTAAAGCACATGATTTGAGGAATCATTCATGTCTGGAGCATAAAGAGTTATGCACCACAGTCTAATACCAGGGTTATTATCGTTAACTAAAACATTAAAAAATAAATAATCAAATATAAAAATGTAACTTATTTCATTTCAGCTATAGTTGCCAATGCAACATTTTTTTTTTTATTTACGTTTAATTTAAGCTGAACTACTAAAATAACTCAAACTAAAAGTTAAAATTAAATTTCCATTTCAAAATATTAATAACAACAACTATATTATAACACAAATTAACTGAAATAAAATAAAATATTAAAATTTTATTTTAAAATATTAGCTTTCAACTAGTGGATAAGAGCAACATTTCTCATTTTATAGTTTAAAAAATATATATATATATATATATATATATATATATACAACAAAATTACTAAAACTTTAACTAAAATATAGTAATATATATATAAATACAATATAATAATACTAATACAAATGAAATCTATTTCATATATTAATAATAATAAAAAAGTATCATTGTTATACTATTAGGCTGATGATACACGGGGCAACTTTGGGCAATGTTGCTGTCAACGGGCAACCAGGTGAGACACAGGGCCCACGACCGATCTAAAGTATCCAGATAGAAATTTGTTACCCGTTCTCAATGGGAAAGTGCCCAAGCAACATCGCTCAAAAAGTTGCCCCGTGTATCATCAGCCTAATAGTATATCAATGATACTAAAGTAACACTGTTTAATACTTTGGTTAATCATGACTATGAACAGAAGAATAAAAAAGAAACTCACAGGTTCATATAGAGCAAATATAAGAAGAGCGATGAGAGATAGCAAGGTCAGGAGGCGTTTTGGGTTACGTAAATCCCCAGAATATGGACTGGATTTAGTGCAGGAATCCATTTGACGAGGTAATGAAACCCGTCTCACATTCTCCTGCTGGGCATCCTTTATGTGAAGGGCTTTCACCAATGAAATACTCTCCACTGCAATGTTACAGATTAGAAAAGACAAATGTGACTTCAGGTTAAAGGCCATGCATTCATGCATTCAAAACGCTGGATAAACTGCTCTGTCCTAAACGTCTTCCATCAGAACAACATGGAACAGAATCAAATCCAGGACCAGAACCGCATGATGACAGACATGCAGGGAGGGAAAGAAAACCTGCTGTATCCAGTGGCCGGTAAACACAGCCTCGTCACCAGCCTGAAGAACACAGTGGCCAAGAAAGGAAGCCCAAATGTCCTGGCACCAGGTACACACACTCTTTTGACCAATGTTACTAATTATTAATTGCCCAGTACATGATATTTTAGTGTAATTTCTTACATATGGGGTTCGATAAGTTTCATTATATCATATAGATTTAGTGACTTGAGCAAACCTGAAATCCAAAGTAGCCTCTGATATTGGACTACCAATAAGCTACAACCTAGCAACCATTCAGGATATCCCAGCAACCGCATGGCAATGAACCAAAAAAATAATAATACTCTGAACACCTTAGCAACTGCTTAGCAACACCCTGGCAACCACCCACAATACCTTAGCAACATGACAGTGAGTTTTGCAAGGACAAGCGCTGCTAACGTTTTATAGAAAACATAAAAATCTAGTTTATATTTATAATGATATATATAACATAAATTGATAATAGTTTGTTATACATTTCTAACTTTAAATTGTTTTAGTAAGATTAAAGTGTGTTAATAAACTTGATTCAAAGCACATAAAAACTTCCACTGTAAAAAAGGACTTGAATGCATTTTTATTTTATGTTTTCCAGTAAAATATAAAAACAAATCTTTAAAACAAGGTAAATGTATTTGAGAACAGTATTGTTAATGCTACCTACAACTATTACAAACTAAATATTAAATATATACTATATAAATATGAACACTTTTAAAAATTGTTTTGGTAATTCAAATAAAGCTTAAATAAAACAAAATAAAACATGAATATTAGATGAAAAATGGAGACAAAAAAATGAAAATAAAAAACTGAAATATGCTGAAATCGCAAATACAAACATTATTAAATCGGAAATAAATTGAAATATTAAAAAAATCATAATAAAATTAATGACAACAGAACATAAAATGACTAAACATAAATAAGTGAAAATATAAAAATTAAATCTAATTCAAAATCTTAAATACTGTATTATATATAATACTAAAATACATAAACCATGAAGATCGTCTTTAATATAAAATATTACAATAACCAAAAACCTTCAAAATACATACTAATGTGTATTTATTAACATACATATAATTAAAATGAACAAAATAATTTACAAACATTAAACATATTTTTAAAAAATGTAAAGCATGATTGGTCCTCTTTAATATCTTGTGTAGTGGTGTTTCTCAAGTACATTTATCTTGCTTCAATAATTTTTAGATATTTTAACTGGTAAACAGACGAAACTGATCGTTAAGAAAATGATTTTTGCAGTCACATGAGTGTATTTCTGAACATGAGGAACATGCTTGCATGTATTTCTGATATCTTTTAGAGCAGCTTCACTCTTCTTCACTCATCTGATGATCTGTTATTATAATTAGCTTGTTGTTACGCTCAATTAACTCCATCTAATGTTCTTCTCTGTCTGTGGAGCCCTTAATAAACATCCATCTCCTGTTTCCATTTCCTTATCTGCCCATGGCCCCTGAAGGGACCGGTCTGAATGTCCGCTAATGCGAATGCGTGCTGCTCCTGGGCGAACTCTATGAGCTAAACACCGTAGCATGCTAGAATGCACTTCAGGACAGCAAAGCTCCCTCTATAATTGGCCCTGTGAATCACCAAGCACCAACCTATCCTTTTAGGCTACTCTGGACCGCTGCGAGAGATCCCTCGAGAGAAATTCAACGCCACGGTGATCCCAAAGTCTTATTGTTCACCGTGGCAGGAAGCCCTGGGAGAAAATGAAGAGCTTCGGTCTTCACTCAACACTCAGATAGCGGAACTTCCACAGAAACTCCCGCCAGCAAACTACAGGTGCTTTAACAGGTAAGATAGTACCTTTCCGGGAAATCACCAGCACCGTGCGGGCAGCAACTTTAATGTGGAAATTCCGAAATCTCAGAAAAAACAACTTAAATTCCATATTTCAACTCAGAAACAAAATCCGACATTAACCTTTTTTTTTTCTCAACGGCTGACACCAGCTGCAGTGATGCGATGACTTTACCATTTGGCAATTGGCTCTTTTATTTAGAAGGCGGGACTTACTCCGCCATATTGCTCGATGCACTTTCTCCCATTCATAAGTAATATGATGACATTGGTATATCTAAAGTCTTTGATTATACTACAATAAAAGAACAAAAATTGAAATAAGGTCACGTTTGTACACCGCAAAACTCAAAATTTCAGTCCAACAACAAGTAGCAAATACTATTTCAGACATAATTCTGTGAAATATATAGTTCTGTCATGACAACTCTCAGAGGGATTGGCATGGTAATGTACATGACAATGTTAATGTATTTGGTCTTGGCGGAACAGATCTGCTACGCTGCTGCTGCGGCAGAGCAAGTACCGAGACTTGCTACTGCCAATACATCCACAACATGCTGCTGTGAGCATGTAAGAAATACTGCTGCTGCACATATAACATACATGAAATAACCCCCATATAGCATACATGAATCACCTCGTAGCAGATCTATACAGGTGGAGCTGGGGAAGGTGGAGGGTTTCTGAAGCAAGCTGCAACTGCTACAGCAAACAAAAGCCAGGTATTTGAATATTGAGCAGCGAGCTCATTGGCTACTGATACAGGAGAGAACCAATCAGCTGCCACGTGAAAATGAGGTCACCAGGTCAGATTGAGCTAGACCTATTGGACTGCGCCATCTAGAGTTTCATGCCAGAACTCTGTATTTCAGCTCATAACATGGATTTCAACACTATTGTATCATTTCCTTTTGTGAAAAAAATAATTGTTAAAATTAACCGTTGGGGTTTTGGGCATTTGTTTTTGGTTTGTCCAACTCAAACATTTACTTAAGTGATATTCAGATACTTTATTAAGGTTGTATATTTATATACTATTGTGATATTTACAAAGCCACCAAATAATTTTTTTTACAGTGGAGATTGCAATTATTTGATGAAAAAATACAGTAAAAACAGTAATATTGTACAATACTATAATCCAACCTGAATTTTGTAATGAACCGGCATCTTTACATCAGTCTTCAGTGTCACATGAAACATTTCTCATAATTATCAATGTTTCCTTCAAAAGATCACCATGACCTTTAAAGCATGGCAAATACAAATGACTTGCAAATGATGAGTTCTTTAAAAGCGCTTAGATGTTACCTTGGTTTTTAGGTGAACTGGTGCAAAAGACTGCAGAAAAAGCTGCATAGCTCCAGCTAAACGTCTTCTAAATTAATACATGTAAAGAGATTGCGATGGGTAATTTTTTTCACTCAGTTCCTGTTTTGTACATAATACACACGAGATGGTCAATGAACAGATTATTAACTACCCCTAAAATGAAATGGAAATTAAGAGGTTAATTTTTTTTTCATAGCCCTAACACTAAACATAACCTTAAAATATAATAAGATTATATGAATGTTAATGACCAGCAAAGATGTTCCAGGAACATTCTGATTAAAAACCTTCATTTGGACTGCTGAAACGAAAACGAAAGAGTTGCATCAAACTGTTCATCGATGCATCACAATAACGTGACACAATATACTGTGGCCCATGTAGGGTTGGGCCATCCGAGTTGGTTTGGGATTCCCCTGTTACAGTTTCTTTACTTGGGAGGGATTAAGTCTTCATTCTCTGCGGTACCAGAAAACTGAGGCAAAACACGATATGAGAAACAGCCTTGAGGATACCAAGAGGTTTTGGCACATTAGCTTGATGCGTGCTGATGGTGTGCCTTAAATAGACCCATCAAGACTAATCCACACTATCAAATTATGAAGTCCACTTAAGAGAGCTGCAATGTTTCCACTGCGTCTTCCCATTTGAAACGGGATCCACAGAGGAGCGAATGACTGAGAAACTATTTAAACGCACCGCCGACTTCTCCTGTCACGAATTTCAGAGCCTCAAGACACACTGCGTATACAGAAGATCAAATTACTGAGATACAAACTAAAATTGCGTCACCATGTGGAGTCAAATCCAGAAGCAAGAATATTTTGAGTTTGCATGACTGGGTCCATTAAGTGACTTGTAGTTTTGAAACTGAACAAAATTACATGCAGTTTCTTGAAACTGAAAGTTACTGGTAGTACTCACTGAATTTAGGTTATTATTGTTAACCAAAATGATTTTTTTTTTAATTAATTGAAATAAAGCTGGAAAAAAATTAAATATAAATATTATATAAAAAATTTAATTAAAATTAGAAATGTTACCTTGGAAACAAACTGAAATAAGTTTAAGTTGAAGCATTAAAATTAATAATTGTAATAAAAATTACTAACTGTAAATAAAACCTGAAATTTAACTAAAACTGAAATTAAACCTAAATAATAACATAAAAAAACAATAATAAAAATGATGTGTTTAAGTTGAAGCAATAAAATGACTAATTGTAAATAAAAACTAAAATTTCACTAAAACTGAAGTAAAAATCAATTAAACATAAAATAGTATAAAATAATAGTAATAAAAAAAGAGAACACAAAAAATGACAAAAGCACATAAAATGACAAAAACAAATTTAAATTCAAATGAAAACTGAAAACATAAAAACTAAATCAAAACATCAATGAAAACTATAATAATAACAAATAATAATAAATATAAATATTACAATAACACTGCATCAAATACTCAGAAATAAGCCACATTATGGAGGGGAATGGTTTGTGAATGCCATTTCATGTTGGTTTTCTGAGAGAGCACTTGTAGATTTAGCTCCACTCTTCTTCATGTGGTTTTTATTTTAGAGCCGCGGTGCCATTTGGAGGTCCTGTGCGCAGTCAGAGGGTGATTCCTGTTATTGGGTTTGAAGCTCTGGAGACTCCAAGTCTTTCTAGCATGACCTTGGCCACCATGTCCAAACGACGCAACTTCAACAGAGCCCCGCAGGGATGGGGTGTCGGATACTTGCCCGAGTCAAATGACCTGTGAGCTTGGCGCTGATCCACACCTGTAACATTAGAGGGAAAAAACTGTCTCGCCGTAAAGACCTGCGCTTTGCACTTTCAGGCAGTCCCATTATGTTCCCTGCTAAAACTGAAATTAAACCTAAATAATAACATAAAAAAACAATAATAAAAATGATGTGTTTAAGTTGAAGCAATAAAATGACTAATTGTAAATAAAAACTAAAATTTCACTAAAACTGAAGTAAAAATCAATTAAACATAAAATAGTATAAAATAATAGTAATAAAAAAAGAGAACACAAAAAATGACAAAAGCACATAAAATGACAAAAACAAATTTAAATTCAAATGAAAACTGAAAACATAAAAACTAAATCAAAACATCAATGAAAACTATAATAATAACAAATAATAATAAATATAAATATTACAATAACACTGCATCAAATACTCAGAAATAAGCCACATTATGGAGGGGAATGGTTTGTGAATGCCATTTCATGTTGGTTTTCTGAGAGAGCACTTGTAGATTTAGCTCCACTCTTCTTCATGTGGTTTTTATTTTAGAGCCGCGGTGCCATTTGGAGGTCCTGTGCGCAGTCAGAGGGTGATTCCTGTTATTGGGTTTGAAGCTCTGGAGACTCCAAGTCTTTCTAGCATGACCTTGGCCACCATGTCCAAACGACGCAACTTCAACAGAGCCCCGCAGGGATGGCGTGTCGGATACTTGCCCGAGTCAAATGACCTGTGAGCTTGGCGCTGATCCACACCTGTAACATTAGAGGGAAAAGACTGTCTCGCCGTAAAGACCTGCGCTTTGCACTTTCAGGCCGTCCCATTATGTTCCCTGCAGTTGAAAGGCCAGAGGAGAGCAGCTGGGAGTTTAGATTTACATCGTTTGAAAACCAAAATTAAACATCAGGATAAAGATGATCAGGATGAGGAGATGGTTTTAGCTTAGTGCTGGATGAAAGGAGTCTCGGTTGCTCTCCTAAACCGTATAGTTCAGCCAAAAATGACAACGACACAGTGAATGGGTGCCGTCAGATTGAGAGTCCAAACAGCTGATAAAAACATCACAATAATCCACAAGTAATCTACACGACTCCAGTCCATCAATTAACATCTTGTGAAGTGAAAAGCTGTGTGTTTGTGAGAAACAAATCCATCAAGACATTTTTAACTTCAAACTGTTGCGTCTGGCTAAAATACGAGTCCTCTATCCATAATCTTGCTTTCTCAAGTGAAAAAGTGGCCTCATTTGAATCAGGTGAGAAATATCATCAAGCACCGTTTACAAGCCAAAAAGGTCCAAAACAGTTCTAAACAAATATGTTGGTGGATTTTGATGTAAGAGGACAACAGGAAATTGACTTTTTAACTGGAGGACACGTTATTATGGATTTTGGTTAGAAGCGATGGTTTAAAGTTAAAACACCTTAATGATGGATTTGTTTCAAACACAAAGCTTTTCACTTCACAAGATGTTAATTGATGGACTGGAGCCGTGTGGATATTTGTGGATTATTGGGATGTTTTTATCAGCTGTTTGGACTCTCATTCTGACGGCACCCATTCACTGCAGAGGATCCACCGGTGAGCAACTGATATAATGCTACATTTCTCCAAATCTGTTCCCATGAACAAACAAACTCATCTTGGATGGCCTGAGGGTGAGTAGATTTTCAGCAAATTTTCATTTGTGGATGAACTATTCCTTTAACACAGCTATACAATCAGAAACCAGTCTACATCTTATAATTGTTCATAATAACCTCTGGCATTTCATAATTGTAGACATGTAATATGCAAATAAATGGTGTTCACGATAGTGTTTCAAAGTGTGCAGCAGTGGCCCCTAAAATGTATTTAGACACTTTAGGCATATGGAAAATGTGCGTTTGATATTGCATTAGATGACTAAATATCAAATATCTATTGTTTTCACACTGAACTCTTTTTGTGAAATGTCCTTGTAAAATGTGTTTGTGTATCTTTCTTAAAATAAATGGCACCTGCTTTGATATTTTGTATCAAATGCAAAAGTGTCCAAATACTTTTTGGGCCGCTGTGTTTCTTAAAACCAGAGCAGACGGTACATTTAATGATGGCTAGTTTAATGCTCACAAAAGAAAATGGTAACGGTAGGCTCTTTCAATAAAAAGTACTTGTTGTTTTTGAATTCCTTTTTTCATGTTACAACAGAAAAGCACTGAACTGACAGTTCATTAAAAACTGCTTCAGAGCACAATGAAAAGCAGAAATATCAGAAAACAGCATGGAAAAAATATATATTTTTTACTTTAAAGAGACAAGACAGTGGCTACGCAAATATCTCTAATTTAAAAAAAAACATTTTTGAATATAGTTGCATCCTTTTAATAGACACTATATTTAAGTATGTTAAATCTCTAGATGTAAGAGTGAATGGTGTGGGTGGGTGAATCTCACAAAAACTGTACAAAAACAATTCAAATTAAGCTATTTTTTCACAAAAAGAAAATGAAGCCTATTTTAGCACCATAAACATTTGCACGAATTAAGAATTAATTATCCCCCCAAATTGTCAGCAATCTACCGTAATGCAACAACTAACTCATTATGTTACTTTAATGAGAAAAAAGGATTTTTGTAATTACTGTAATTACAATTTGGGGGAAAATGAGTTAAATTTTTCATGTCAAACTGCAAAAAGTCCTAAACGGCGCTTCGTTTTCAATGTAAACTCAAGTTAGCGTGAGATGTATTGTCTCAACAAAAAGCCCACAGATTTAGCACGATGATGTTTTAAACAAGGCGGCTTATGATAACGAGGAGGCAGAGTGTGTGTCTGGCATAAGATGGGTCAACTTTATAACAAGGGCCTATTTGTTGGTAAGCTGTGTCTGTATATAAGATGTGACTGAGGCATGATGATGTGGCACTGCACTTACAATAGTAACCCCAATCACATGACCATACCGTAGTGTACCAGTCAATCACTTTGTATGACGTCACAGATCAGACTCCACCCTCTGATGACTTCACCTTCATAGATCAATAACCCACAGCAGTGAGAGAATCTTTACTAGTTCACATGACGAGTCAATCATTCGCTGTGGCGGATGGCAGCATGTGCACCCATGCGCTGAGGATCCTGGGAAGGATAATGGATGTGGCCTGGAGGTCTCAAAGCCATCGGAGGAGGTGGAGGAGGGCCCATGGGGTGGAACATGGGAGCTCCAAAACCTGAAACCACAAGCAGACCGTATTTATATATAGTACATAAGAGCTTCTAATTATTTATTTTTTTATTTCAAATTTTAGTTTAGGTTTTAGTTATTTGTCATTTAGTTATTAGGTTTAGTGCTTTTGTCATTTGTATTAGTTATTTTTTAGCTTTAGTTTGCTTTTATTTTAGTATTTAATAACAAGTGTAATAAACAAGATTTTTTTTAATTTCAGTTTTAATAATGTTATTATGTGCTGTTGACATTTTTATTAGTTTTTTAATATTTCTATTTAGCCTCGGTTCTTTTCATATTAATATATGTAATATTAATACATTTAAAATTAATAATATATTTTAAATGAATATTATACATTTATTTATTTCATTTTTAGATTGAGATTTAGTGATTATATGTGCTTTTCTCATTCTTATTTTAACATTTCTATTTAGCTTTATTTTTATTTCAGTTTTAATAACTGAATAAATGGAAATGTATTTTAGTTTTAGTTTTAGTAATTTTATTATGTGCTTTTGCCATTTTTATTACGTTTTTTATATTTCTATTTAGCTGTAATTCATTTTTATTTCAGTTTTAGTCATTTTATTTGATGTGAAAACCACCAGCTGAAACACTAGAGACATGCAGGGGTGAGTTGAGCTGAAGGGTGCACCTGGTGGCAGTGGGTTTGAGAGTCTGGGTGGAGGTGGCAGACTGATGTTCATGAGCGCAGGAGAGCTGCTGGGGTCCAGGTTAAAGTAGTTAGCAGGTGCTTCCTCCTCCAGAGCAGGGGGTGGCGGTAGAGCTGCAATATGCACATAATATAATCAGGTAACACTTTCTATGAAGCCCGTATTTATAATACATTACAAGGGTATTCTTAAGGCATTAAAATGAATGCATAATGTATTATAAAAAACCTTATAATATGTTGTATCATCTCATGATAAATCATAACAACAGTTTTAATGCATTATAATATTTACTTATTTGTGGTTATAGCTTTTAAGAGTATGATGATTTATAATCCACAAGCAACACAATGCATCCACTTAACTTACAATGGATTATATTTCCCATAGTTATAATGTATTATGAGTCTCATATGTTGCCATCGTTAACTTGTTACTTTACTTAAAGCAGACAAAGACTGATCAGATGAATGTGTAATATGGCACATTTGCTTTTAACCATATTTAATATAATATCAGTAAGATAGTAAGATGCCGTGCAGATCTTAAATGTGACCCAGGACCACAAAACCAGTCTTAAGTTGCTGGGGTATATTTGTAGCAATAGCCAAAAATACATTGTATGGGTCAAAATTATAGATTTTTCTTTTATGCCAAAAATCATTAGGATATTAAGTAAAGATCATGTTCCATGAAGATATTTTGTAAGTTTCCTACCGTAATTATATATCAAAACTTAACTTTTGATTAGTAATATGCATTGCTAAGAACTTCATTTGGACAACTTTAAAGGCGATTTTCTCAATATTTTGATTTTTTTGCACCCTCAGATTCCAGATTTTCAAATAGTTGTATCTCGGCCAAATATTGTCCTATCTTAATAAACCATACATCAATGGAAAGCTTATTTATTCAGCTTTCAGATCATGTATAAATCTCAATTTTGAAAAATTGACACTTAAGACTGGTTTAAGACATAAATAATGTCAAGATATGAGACTTATAATCCACTATTAATTAAGTGGATTTAAAATGGTGTTCATTGCGTGTTATAAATAATCATACTCATAAAATTTATAACCACAAATAAGTAAGTTTTAAAAAGTATTATAATTGTTGTTATGATTATTTATTAGATGAAACAACATTTTATAAAAAAATGTATAATGCATTATGCATTCATTATAATGCCTTAAGAA